GAGAGGTCATCTCAAGAGGAAGCCGCCTTAGAGACCAAAGTGAGCAGGCAGGAGTTTCCCAGCCCCCCCCCCGAATGGTTGGGGTTTCTTTGCAGGCTGAAATAGCAGTGCAAACCACACGGATCAGAGGAGGAAATCACCCACCGGCTGTGCAGCTGAACGGGGCTCGAGACCCCTCCAAAGCCGGCTGCCCTGAGCCACGATACTGCATGGCTCCCCTGATCTAGGAGCAATCATTCCTTGACCTTTTTAAAAAAAGTCCCCTTTGGGGGGGGTCAACTCAAGGTGGCGAACATACCTAATCCCCCTGCCTCCTATGTTCCCCACAACAACCCTGCAAGGAGGGTTGGGCTGAGAGGGGGTGGCTGGCCCAACGTCACCCAGCCGGCTCTCGTGCCTAAGAGAGGACTAGGACTCACCCGCCTTCTCCACGCCAAACTGTGCGTTGAACTACTTCCCATTTTTTTTTAATGTTAAGCAATTGCTTAAAGGCCTGGGGAGATAAGAAGACAGACCCCCCCCCCCTTTCTGAGCTACCAGGTCAAAAGCTGAAGGCATCTTTTGATGCCTAATTTTGAGAAAAGACCAGGATGGATCTCATCTCAAGCCCCCACCCCTCCGGGAAAACATCCTCTAGGGTGGATGAAGACAGCACTGAGGCACAGAGATTAGTCCTTGATTTATGACGATTCGTTTAGCAATCAATCAAAGTTACGACGGCACTGAAAAAAGTGACTTATAACCAGTCCTTGCGCTTACCACCATTGCAGCAACCCCATGGTCACATGATAAAAATTCAGGTGCTTGGCAACCGGCATGCATTTACGGCAGTTGCAGCATCCTGGGGTTACGTGATCACCATTTGTGACCTTCCCAGGGGGCTTCCGACAAGCAAAGTCAATGGGGGAAGCAGGATTCGCTTAACAACTCTGGTGATTTGCTTAACGACTGTGGCAAAAAAGGTTGTAAGATCAGGCATGACTCACTTAATGACCGCATCACTTAATGATGGAGTTCCAATCCTAGTTGTGGTCATAAGTCGAGGACTACCTGTACTGAAATGCAGTATTGTTGTGGGGTTGTAACTCAACAAATCTGGGGCTCAGAGAAAGCGGGTTCCTGGGACAGAATGGCGATGCCCATGCCTCATCTCCCGACGGTGTCCCTCTGTGTAAAATGCCTAGGATTATCACGCATAAGACAAGGGTTCATATACATTTTCTAAATAAATCAATAAAGTCTTGTTTTGTCAAGAGACTTGTGGCTAAATGACACAATGCAATTATTATAATGATGCAAATAACCATTTAAGATCGCTTTGGGTGCAGAGCAGTGTCTCTCAATCTCAACCACTTCCAGACGTGTGGACTTCATCTCCCAGAATTCTTTCCACTAGCCACGCTGGCTGGGGATTCTGGGGTTTGAAGTTCATACGTATAGAGAGAGAGGCCTGAACCGGGAAACCTGTGTTAGAGAATGATGGGTTCCTGGCTTTGGGAAGGGGACTCGTCCCTCCCCAGCCCACAAGAGTGTGGGTCAGTATTTTTAGGGGGGCAGGATGAGGCCGGGGCAGGATCTCTGTGCAGGGAGAAAGCTGAGAGCCCCTCAGGCCTCCTGCAGAAGATTCCACACAGAACAGCTTCAGCCTACAGCTGTGAAATTTTGGGGTGGTCTCCCATCCAGATACCAACCAGTTCTGACACCGTTTAGCTTCTGAAGCTGAACCGCCACAGGTCTCCTTCGTCGAGCCAGAAACACACACCCTTCACTTTCTTGCACCAGATGTGAATTTGGGGTCCCTGGAGGGAGATTTAGGATGGAGAAAAGGAAATGAGGTGATAATGGCCATTCTTGGAGGTGGTCTTAAAAGGGGACCGAATTCAATGGAAGAGGGGCCTATCCGTGGCTCCTGCTCCCAAGGGTGGTTCGCCACCTCTGGGAACATCTGCCAGGGAGCAGCAGCAGCAGCAGCAGCGGGATTTGGCCCTCCTGGCTGGGCTGGGAGTTTCCCGGATGCCTCTGGCTGGCCACAGTGGGACACAGAAGGCTGGACTGAGTCTGCAGGTCCGATCTAGCCTCTGGGCATTTCTTGGGTGCTCTGAATGTTTTCATTAATCAAATCTTGGGGGGGGGGCTCATTTCCTCCTTGAATAAGGAAATTCTGCAGCCCCAGGGCACCTCCAGATGCAGCAGCCACACCACGCCCAGAGCCCACCTGCCGTCTCCATGGGATTTATTTCTGGCCAAGAGGAGCTGCTCGGGGATCGGTGTATAAGCAGAAATGTCAGAAGGAGCCAGAAGCACCATTTCTGAGTCAGGAACCTTATTAAAAGGCAGAAACGTCACAAGAAACAGTGCTACGAGGCTCCTTCTAACTTTGGGCTACCAAAGATTCACCTGTCTCTCCTCCTACAATGCCAAGCCTTGTCAGAGCCTGTGGTCCTCTTCCTTCTCCCGCCCCCAGCCCCTAAGCTCTGCATCGTGGGGCTTTTGCAGAGGGAGGTGCCCCCTAACAGGTGGCTTGGCTGCCCTCCCTTGCAGGAAGAGCGCCAAAGGCCAGATCCCTTGGACACAGCCGGGCAGCAGAGGGTCAGATCCAGTCGGAGGCCTTCCTCTGTGCTCGGCCCCAGAATCAGCTGAGGTGCCCTGAGGGCTGCAAGGAGAGCAAATGGGGGTGCTGAAGGGGCACAACGATGGTAGTGCAAAGGCACCTGATGGCTGGCCAGCTCCAGCACAAGGAAAGCGTCTTGCGGCTCCAACTGACAGTTTCATGACAAGATTCCCGGCCAGGAAAAGTGAGGCTGCCACACAAGGATCCGCCGGATTCACACAGTGCCCTGAATCTGGATACTGGATGAAGCCGCTTCCAGAGTCCTCACAAGGCTCTCCCCCAGGATGCCAGGCGCAACCCGTCTGACTGAGCTGGATGCCAACCCAGCAGCGCCCTGCGGAAGCAGCCCTTTGCTTCCCACAAGGCCCAGCCCAAAGATTCAGGGGGCTGGAGGGCCCCTGCCTATGACTGGATGCACAAAACCCATGTTCCAGGTCCTCCTAAGAAAAAGTGCGTGCTCTGGGGTTTCCCCAGGAAAAGGGCTCTCGCTCCTGCCCTCGCCGTTGGAAAAGGCTGGGCCCCTCTTGAAGGAGGAAACGAATCTCCAAACCCACTGAAAAATTTGTGCCCCAGCACAGACGCCCTGGATGGCACCCTGGGGCTGGGCTCCCTGCCCCTCCCACCCCAGAGACTTGCCAGAGCCTCTTATTCCCAGAAAGTCGGGCAGCTGGTCCTCTGCTGAGTCAGGGGTGCCAGCTCAGCAGTGCCAAGGTGGACTGGCGCCGTCTCGCCCTGATGTTGCAAGGGGTCTTCCAGCCCAGCCTGGACCCTTGGCCGGCATGGCGGGTGGGGTCCCCTGAGCCGAGGCCCCTCCTCGGGTGGCTAGCCTCCTGACACCCCGTGCCCGTCCAACGCCCTGCACCCCCATTGCTGCGCCTGCCACCGTGCCCCATCTCCTCCTCTGCAGGCAAGGCGGTCAGCTGGCTCGGTGGGTGCCCTTCGGTGCGGGACCGCAGGCCGTCCGAGTCCTGCAGGCCGAGAGAATAAGGCCAGCGCGGGCGCGG